TTAAATGATTAGGGGAGAAACAAACAATTGCCCATTTTAATGTGGCATAAAAAATAACCAAATATTCCGCCTCAGTCCAAACTCAAATGATTATTTTAGTCCCTTAATAATCTCCAAATAATTGAATTTACCCTTTTTTCCACTTTTAAAAGTGTTTGGTGCTCCTGTGGAGATGCTGTCACAGATCCCTGAGAACAAAGACAGAATCTACTTTCTGTCAAAGGTCTGTGAAACTTAAACTGTATAAAATGTCTTAAGTTCTATCAAGGACTTAAGTATTTTGTGAATACTTCTTAACATGATAGCTTTCCACCTTACTTGCTCCAATTTTGCAGTAAAAAAGGAAACACAGCACAAGCCTGAGCTACTTGATTCTGGTCAACATCTCCAAGTTGGCTTCACATATAAAAAAAATAATCTTAATCTGTGCTTCAATTAATCCTTTAAAACACAAAAAGGACTAAATTTGGTTAAGCAAAGTGCTATTTCTATTGTCAATGTTAAAAGAGAGACATAACACACAAAAATGAATACTGGGACATGCAGTTTTATCTTGAAACATCAATTTATGAAAATGAAAGCATGCATTTAATAAGGAGGAAAGGGAAAAGGAAATGTTACAAAAGACAACAGAAGATCCTTCACACAAGTATATTAATAGCACTCACTCTACCTTAATATTTAAGCACTGTAGAATACTTTATTTTTTCTAAAAACAAATAAAACAGTAGTCTAGAAAACTGCTACAAAAATTTCTGAAGAATGCATTTCTCTTACCAGGAAAACAGATCAAGACTTATATTTAACTCATGAATACAGATCAAAATGAGAAAATAAATGCCAAATGAAAACTGAGACATGAACAATAAGTTTCATAGAAAGCTTCAGTTGAGGTCAGCTGAGTGGCTCAGTTGGTTAAGAGCTCGCTCAACTGTGAGCTCTGAGCAACTAGCGGTTCGATTCCCAGCCCAAGCTGAGCTGCCAACAGGTGGCAGGATGGCTCATCTGGAAAAAAAAAAGCTTCAGTTGATTTAGAATACCTTTTGAAGAAAAAAAAATCAATTACCAAGACTAAAATTTCTTAGAATGATTATTTGCCATAAACTCCACCCCTTTCAACATCCTTCCAAAACATTCAGGTCAGACATTTAATGAACATCCGAATGTAATGAGTTAAGTTCTGGAATGTCTAAAATAATTTTGTAGCAACAGAATAAAAAGAATGGCAACCAAAACATTTGATGATTAAGTTTTAAAACTTTATTATAACTGCCAACAATAAGACCTAAAATACCCTTTTTAAATGTAAATTTTTTAAAGAATTAAGTTCTTCAAACAAATAGATGATATTCAACAAATATAAATATTTCAAAATTAGCCTAAATATTGACATAAGGCTAACATCTTCAGATATAAGAGCTTGGAACATAAATCCTACATTGAGGCTGCTTGTAACACAAAGAAATGCTGAACTCACTGAATGACTTCTACCAAAAACAGAATTCTCCATTGGATCTACCAGTACATGCAAGCTTATTAGCTTAATCCTGGCAAATCCCATGCTAATATACAATCATCAAGACACTAAAATGTTAATTCCAAAATTAAAGAGATTAAATCCATATCTTGCATATGTCGCAGAATTTGAAAGCGTGTGTATTTAGATATGAAATTTGTAAAAGTAGATCTAAGTGTTACTGGACAGGACACTTAATTATGTTTTGGTAGTTCTCCTTTGTCCTTTTAATACCTCTTGGAAAAATCATTTTAAGAGTTCTATAACTGGGGGAAGAGGTGGTACATGAGAGTAAAAAGGATCAAATATATGGTGATGGAAGGAAAACTGACTCTGGGTGGTGAACACACAACATGATATGTAGATGATGTATTACAAAATTGTACAATTACAAACCTATGTAACTTTGCTAACCATTGTCACCCCAATAAGCTTTAATTAAAAAAAAAAGAGTTCTGCAATTTACCATTAAAATAATAATTAGTATCTCTGGAAAGAATAGGTTAGCTAGGTATGTGATTGACTACTCAGGCAAATAACAGGTTTTTTTCTCCTTAATTTCCTAACAAAACTTATTCGTCAAAGCAAAGACTTTCCATCTTAATAAACAGTTGCTTTTCATGAGGCACAATTAAGAATGTGCCCTCCCTTAAAGTTATAAAATGCCCCATATATCTCATATGTTGCTTTAGCACTATGTTATGTTGAAGTTGAGTACAACTCCCAGAATACAGACTTACAATGGTAAGATGCAGGCAGACAAGAAACGAACCTCATGAAATACATCATGCCTTTTTTTTAAAAGGTAATTTTCAGTCAAGTTAAAGCTCACCTAATTTATCTTGTGAAACAGGAAAAATCCATCTAAGATATAATTGTAAATATTACTCATATTCTAAAAGCCAAATCTATTAATGGATTCACTAATAATTTAATGGCACATTACCTTCATTTTTAACATTTCCAGTTGCTGGTTTATTTTTAAAAGGCTGTTTTAAGAAAAGGAAAGGATTTTTTTTGTAATACAGTTACATCATTTGTTCTAATAAAATGAAAACACTAACATCCATCTTTAGCTAGATATAAAATATCCCATTAGGCTATATGCAACAAAGTTTTCACAGAGGGCAAAGAGATCAAATAAATGAAGACTAAGTGCTGCACGGTGAAGTGTTTGACTATTTAAAATATGTCATTATGTTACACAACTAGCAACTTCAAACTCTCTTCATATAACAGAATACAATTATAAAACTGACTATACTGATTTGGATCTACTGAAATTCAAACCACATTCCACAAGCCATGCAATAACTATATACATGTAAGTCCTAATAACAGTTTTGAAGCAGCTCTTCAAACACAGGAATTATGACGAGTAGCATAGGTTATATAAATATACATCAAGTGAATCCAAAACTCCATTTTGACTAGGTATTTTGATCTCCTACATCACATTGTTTTTCACCAACGACTGCCAATCAGAAGCCAAGCAGCATTTCTTTGTGTCACAAGCAACCTCCTAGCCCTAAAATTATTTATTCCAAGGTGCCAGTCATAATAGTAAAACTGTCAAAGACAGTTAGCTGGAAGGAGGAAGCTGAGCAATCTACAAAAATGACAGCCTCTAAATAAATAAGTTGTCTTTAAAAATATACAAAACACTGAACTGATTTATCGGGTGGGGGGGGGTTAAATCTAATATAGATGATGATGGTTTGGTTTGGTAACTTCCCATCCTGCCCTCCCTGCACACAAGGAACCGAAAGCTGTTTGTTAACTAGCAGTAAAAGGATTTGGAAAATGCTCCAGTTAAAAATGAATGTTTATCAAACAGACTTCCCTGTCGGTTAGTAAGCCAACAAGCACTCTAAGCATATACTAAAAAGGTTGGGGGGGAGGCTGGAGAATTGAATCAAAATAAATATGGGACAGCCCCCCCTCTTCAAGAGTCTCAATTCACTGAGTACAAGAGTACACATTAGAGACCAATTAATTAATTGCTCACCTGAGTAGTACAGACTTTAAGTGCAAGAGCTGTCCAGGAAGTTTAAATATCTAAAGATTGAAATAGTATCACGTTTAATAGCTATCACTTGAGCAAAAGCCAACTGCTTTACAGGCATTACCTAGTCTTCAAAACAATCCTTTGAGTACTTATTCCCAATTTACTCAAGGAGAAACTGTCAAAGTGGTAAAGGAACTTACCCAAGGTCACTTAGTTAAATGGCTAAGAAAGCCGCTTACCAAGGCAATCCAATTCTACAGCTCACACTGTTAAGGCTTCATAAATCAGTGCGAGTGCCGGGGGTGAAGAGGCCCTATAGGCAGGCAATACAATACGCACAAGATTCGGCAACAGTTTCCCAGCGTTTCTGTTCTAAGTAACAAAGTTCCAAAGATTAGTTAATCTCTGCAACAGCAACCGTAGACTGACTACTTAGGGTAGAGGGACGACGATGGTAAAAATAGCTAAGGCGTTAATTCATATAGGGTTGAGCTTTAGCTAATAAAGCGATTCAAAAAGGAAACAAAAAAATTTTTTTTAATCTAGGGTTTGTTTTGCTACTTTAAACGATGTTCTTTTTCCCTAGAGCGCTGAAATTTTGGGCGAGGAAACCGTGGGTATGGCAAATTACTATTTTCTGTATTACTGGGGGAAAGAAGTTTATAACTAAAGAAAACGCATTTATCTAGGTACTCGAGAACCTTGGAGAGTTGCCAAAATCAGTTGTAGTCCCAGGACAAAATGGGGTTTAGAAAACATTTAATAACGAAAGTTGAGTACAACCCGAAATGACTCTAAGGTGAAAAAAACGGAGCAAAGAAATGCCGGTAGGTCTTCAGGGAAAGCGGCAATCCCTGCTACACTTCTCCCACGGCCAGCGGCGCTGTGCGAGGCCGGGACAATCCAAGAGACCGCTCCGCGGGAGGATGAGAGGTGACAAGCGAGACTCTTCGCGACTCCCCAGGCTTCACGGCTGCGGGTGGAGAACAGGGGAGGGAGTCCGGGATGGTTCGCCCTCCTCCGACTTCGGTCAGAGGAGGGGCCGGGCTCCAAACTGCGGAGTCCAACGGGTGCAGAGTGAAGAAATGGGACAGAGAGAGATGGAAAGTCTGAACCTACCCGGCGCGGCCCCGTAAAGAGAAAGGAGCCAAGTGAGCTCAAACGAAGAAGGGGACAAAAAGAGACCGAGCAGCAGCGCAGAGACTAAACGGGAGTTCTGCTAAGAGGCTAAAGGAAGAGGGGCTACGGTGGGCAGCAGAGATTTCGAGGAGACCCGGGAAGGAAGGAGATCAGCGGCGGTTACCAGCAGCTCTTCTCCCCGAGTTCGAAACTCCTAGCCATCCACACCCGCAGCCCAGATGGGGGAGGGGGCACATCTTCTTTAACCCCCCACCTCCCCTGCAACCTCCCCTCACATGTGACAGTAACACCTGAGCCCAGCCCGGCTGTGTGCCCGCCTCCAACTCAGACACTCACAATTCGCCTCTCCCTGTTTTCTCCCAGTTCTTTATCCACTCTACGGGAAGCACCACCGTTGCGGCCGCCATCTTCCTCTCACTAGTAACTGAAGCCCGGATGTGTAGCACGCGAGCAAGAGGTCAAAGGGGAGCACCGCCCACTGAGAATGCCGGGAGCTGCGAGTTCGCTTTTCGGTTTCCCGCCCCGTGGTCCTCCCCCCCACACCCCCCGCGGAAGCCTAAGGCCCTGTGGCCAACGAAGTGGCCCAGACCCGTGGGTCCCTTCGCAGAGTGACGTCGCTGGCCGCACCCTATGCCACCCTTGCCCTCACTTCCCTTTAGAACAGGAAAAGTGCCATCCCCAAGCTGACTCGTATCCCTTATCTTCTTCCGTAGTATCTACTCCAGACTAGTAATTGAAATATATATTTTCCAAGCACCTAATATGTGCTAGACACTGGGACTAGAAAAACAAAAAACTACAATGCCTACCCTCAAGGAGCTCACAGTCTGTGGGAAAGAAACATAGAAGCAGTTCAATTACAATGCACCTTGCTAACTGCTGAAATAAAAAATTACTCACGGAAGAAGTAGCCATTTACTGTGTGCCAGACATACTAGTACAATTAGCCCTGGGAAATGTAGCCACCAGTGCGGACATGCTACTGTGTCTTCTGCGGCTTTAGGGAAAGTAAGTAACCATGAGAAACAAATTGTTTACACTACATAGTATCAAAGTATCGCCCAACCAGATACTATTACTTTTTTTAAAAAAGATTTTTATTGGGGAATTGAGTGGATGGTAACAGTGCTGGGGAATTGGGGGAAGGGGAACAGACAAGTTGCTGTCATTTTGTTCTTCAGTCTAGTTGTGGAGGACGTTGCTTCACTGGCCCAAGTTGGCACCATCATTGCACTCTTCCCAGGTGAGGCACATCAGTTGCCGGCTTCTGGACGGCCGCTCACTGCGGCTGCTGGCCGCTCACGCTGGCTGCTGGCTACACACGGTAGCCCATGGCAACCCACTGCCACAGGGGCTGCAGCCTACGCCGTCGCTGGCGACTCCCAGCAGCCCAGCTCCAGGTTGAGCTGTTGTTCAGCATCTTAGCTGTAGAGGGCAGTGTCACTGGCCCTCATATGTGGGATCTGAACCGGGGTCCTCTGGTGTCCCAAGCCAGCTCTTAACCATAGCGCCACTCATAGGCCGGCCCGAGATATTATTTCAAAGGGCGAAATAGAAACTGTACACTGGAAAAACTTTACAAAACACTGTTTCATCTGGGGATGAAAATAAGCATCCCCAGAAATCAGACAAATGAGCATCATGTGCCTCCTGATAAGGTGCTAAGAAAAACACGAACCAATTTTGTTGTATTGGTCATGTCAAAAATTTGCATAGCCTGATTTTAATCGTGAGGGAACATCAGGTAAACTCATATTGAGGGACAGTCTACAAAATCACTGGCCTGCACTATTCAAAATCGTCAAGGTCACTAAAGACGAAGACAGAGTGAGGAACTCTGCCAGATTAACGGAAACTACAGTGGTGACAACTGATCCCCAGCCAGAAAAAAACATTTTTCTTATGCTAAAAAAGGGCATTATTGGGACAATTGACTACATTTGAATATCTATAGGTTAAGGAATAACATTGCATCAATGGTAATTTCTTGATTTGTAGTACTCTTACTGTGGTTATAGGAGAGAAAGTCAGTATTTAAGAAATTGTCCACTGAAGTATTTAGAGATAACGGGGTATTATGTTGCAAGGTACTCTAGAATGTTTCAGAAAACAAAAACAAGAAAGGATAATTAAGGAAATATAAAATATGAACATATTGGGAACCTGGGTAAAGGACATACAGGGGTTCTCTGTTCTATTTGTGCAACTTTTCAAAATAAAAAGGTTTTAAATATATATCTTTAGCAGAAAATTTAAAAATACAGACAAACCAAATAAAAAACTCCTACCACACATGTATTAACATATGAAATTTAGAACTAATATCATCTAAATTTGGCAAGTTTTGCCAAATGGACCAGGTTCATCTGTGTTGAAAAAACAGTTCAGGGGAATAGGCTGTATTCAGAATAGCTCTGGGGAAATGCGACATTGTTTATGATTGTTTTTCATCATCTATATCTAGTCTCCTAATGGCCTGATTTTGAAATTCTAAAGCAACCCACTAGAAAATATACACCAGTCAGTTTCAATGGCATGTGCTCATAAAAACCTTTTGCTATTTTGTGGAGTTTCAGAAATATGACTAACTTTTATCTTCTCAATTTTTTATTATTTTGGAGTATTTCAAATGTTAACAGAATGGTAGTGAATCCTCATTGCATCATGACCCTTTCCTAAAAAAATTTGAAATCATTATTACAGGATGGCTTCTATGATACAAGAAGCACTATCCTGCTGCTTATGTATTTTCTGTATAATCCACAGCACTTGACACTATCCACATTTAAAGCCAGGTAATTCTTTGGGGAGGTCAGGATCCATCCTGTGCCTTCTTGGACCCACTAGATGTCAGTAGCACACCCCACACCAGTTGTTACAATGTCTCCAGACATTCCTGTCTCCTAGAATGGAAAATAGCCCCGTGTTGAGAGCCACTGAGCTACAATGTTCTGCTGTATTGTGGCTTACCTTGCCACTGTATCACAGTGATTTCTCCTTCCACACACTGAACTGTGTGCAGTATGCACTACTCAGTATACCACAAATGTGGTATGACCTGACTGCAGTGATGCCCTTTGAGGCCTTCTCCTAGAGCCTGCAGAACTATTTTTACATGGATGATGACTCCCTTAGGAATTCCTCAGAGCTAATTGGCTTTTTTGCTCTATAAGATTGCGAAGCTATTATATCTTTTGCATCCTTGTTATTGACTTACCTGTTTTTTGCTAACTGATATTGTCTCAGCAGCTGGGAGTACTATTCCCTGGTGATCTCACTGGCTCTTGGGTACCAATGGACTAGGCAGGGACTGAGATCTGTGGTACAGGCTAGGGATTTGTTAGTTTTTGTGTTGACAGTCTGATGAATAGAATGATAGGTTGATTTTTGATAATTCTAAAGTTAGGCAATCTTATCATCACAGTGAAAACAGATAATGGGATCAAGAAGGAGGCACATAAAGCAAAACAAGATAAAATAAGTAAAATAATCGAAGAATGAATACAAATGCTATACCCTTTGTGGGCCTGTCTGCTGAAATGCTGTATATTGGTAATGGGTTTTTATTAACTAAAGACTTAGTTATGTTAAATATACAAATTAAAATTTCTTGGATAACCACCACAAACACAAAAAGATGTTATATATCTACTAAACTACAGCAGGGGAAAAACATTGAAAGAGAAAAAAAAATCAAGCAAGCCAAAAAAGGCAAGAAAGGAGGGAAAAGTTTTTTAAAAAGTGGGACAGCTGGTTTGATTCCTGGCCTGAGCTGAGCTGCCACTGAGCTGCCAACAGGTGGCAGGATGGCTCAGCTTAAAAAAAAAAGTGGGACAAAGAGAATAGAGGAATATGATAGATTTATTTTAAAATATATTTTGTACCCTTTATTTTGAAAGGAAAATGGTAGGTTTAAACTTAAATATATCAATAATTGCATAAAATATAAATGAACTAAATGCTCCAGTTAAAAGTAATGATTATCAGACTGGTTACATTTAAAGAAGTGTAACTAGTTTTAGGAGACAGCCCTGAAACACAGGGACACAAAGTTTAAAAGTAAAAATGATGGAGAAAATATATCAAGCCAATACTAAGAGCAATAAAAATTAAGCTGTCACAGCTCTATTAATATCAGACAAAATAGATTTTAAGGGAAAAAATCATTAGATTTAAAAAGGGTTACTATAAATTGATAAAATTTTCAAGTCACCAGGAAAATATAATAATCCTAATCTGGAATGTACTCATTCAACCTTTTGAAATATAGGAAGCAAAAACTAGCAGAACTACAAGGAGAAATAGACAAATCTACCACCCCAGTGAGAGTCTTTAGTTAATCTTTCTCAGAAATATGTAAAGTAGCCCAAAAAAATCAGTAAAAATGTAGGAAATTTGAACATCAAAATGAACAAGTTTGATCTAGTGATATACATAGAACACTGTATGTAGCAACTGGAAAATAAATACCTATATTTGGAAATTTAAAATCATACTTTGAAATAAATCACAAATCAAAGGAAAAGGTCATACTAAAAATTAGAATACTTAGAACAGAAAAATACTGAAAGTATTACATATACATACTAATAAAAAATGATTGGTTGCAGCTAAAGTGGTGTTTAGGGAAGAAATTTATATCCTTAAACTTTTGTATTAAAGAAACAAGGCCAGAAATAAAAAAAGCTAAGCATCAATTTAAGAAGTTGCAAAAACAAGGGCCGGCTGAGTGGCTCAGTTGGTTAGGAGCTCACTCAAGGGTGCGAGCTCTGAGCAACTGGGTCGCTGGTTCGATTCCTGGCCTGAACTGACTGCCGCTGAGCTGCAAAAAGGTGGCAGGATAGCTCAGCTAAAACAAACAAACAAACAACAACAACAAAAAGTTGCAAAACCAATAACAGAGTAAATGAAAGAAAGCAGAAATAAGGACATTTTAAAATAGCAAAGATTAATAAAAAAGAAAATGTTCAGTAGAAAAGATCAATAAAACCAAAAACTGGTTGGTTGAAAAGTCTAATAAAACTGACAAACCTCTGTCAAGACTGATTATAAAAAAGAAGAGAGAAAGTATATATATAAACAACTTTAGGAATTGTATAGGTTAGGTTCATCACAGGAAACACATGACATACTCAAAGGAGATAATTAAAGAGTTTAATGAAGGAACCATGCACAAGGGTACAGCAGGATTAAGAGAAACCAACAAATGGATGGTGAAGCACCTCAGGGCTAGCAACACTGGAAGTAATTAGTATACCTAAGCCTGAAGGGGCAAGGGGAGTTACCAAAAACTAAAGAAATAAGGAAAAGTAAAATAAAATAAATAAAATAAAAAAGGAAAGGAAAGGAACATTCAACAGGAACTATGGCCTTCTGTAGTGGAATTACTGCCAATTTACATCTCAGCAGGGAAGGAGTCTGGGGAATAAATATCCTGACCCTTCTCTGTCTCTATCATCTGATCTGCTGATACCACCCTTTGGCTGATGGCTACTGGAA